ATTATGATCAAACACTATATTTATAAAACAAGATGCCTTCAAAACAATTTGTCAGTAAATGCTTTAATTAACAGCATAAAAGACCATTATTCTGTACAAAAATATATAGCATGTTGCAAGGGGGATAATTTTGTAACAAAACTGGAAAGAGAATGGAAAAAATGGAACCACCTCCTGGAATTATAAGCCAAAATTAAATAATTTAATACCATCAAGTCAGCAGATACAATACATCTCCTCCCACAGTATAGTTCTCTTTTTATATTTTGAAAATACACTGATGCACATACATGTAGCCAGCACACACTAAGTTTTAAGGGCTTTTTTTTGCAGTTATGTCCCTTTTACCATGCCTGTATTGAATCTTGCCTGAACTCGAAATATATATTTTTTGTCCCTTTTTTGTGAATCTAAGTTGATGTTTCTGTCTGAACTTATTAAAATTAATTTCTTTTATGATATAGATATATTTTGTCCTGAGTATTACCCTCATTTCTCAGTCACCTTTATATGGATGTATTTACTTGCAGTTTAAAGCCGAAAGCACCTTAATTACAATTAATACAGAAGATTATCTTATAATCTTATTCTAAACATAAAGTTTGTTTATTATTGATCTGCAGTGCAAAAACTAGTTTCTCCTTTTTCTTTCTCTTTCTGTTGGCTTTCTCCGTTGTCATTGCTATTTTTTTCCCCTTCTTCTTTTCTATTCTCTCTCTCTCTCTCTCTGTTCCCATAAAGGCAATATGTGTGTACATGGGTACCATTACATGTACTTGTGTCTAAATATATCAACTGATGTAAGTAAGAGTGAATATGAGTCGTGTGAGGTCTGAATATATAATATGAATTGTTTGAATATAAATATACCATATATTGCAAAAAAAATCTTGAATAAAAAGAAAATTACAAAAAAAAAAAAAAAGTAAAGATGACACATTCTTATAGTGAATCACAAAATACTCTGTGTCATCATTTCTTCTAAACCTGCTACATAAAGCAAAACTACTTTTTGGCAGTCCATGAATTCCGGTGCGATTTAAAAGCGAAAAAAATATCTCTAGAATAAGTTATTTCTTTATTTTATTAATTAAAATAATAGTTCGCCAACGCTAGCAAATATTTAGTTATTTCCATATTTTAGTTGCTCAAACAAAATGTAGCCTATTTAAAGGTTAATATTTAAAAACAATCTATAATATAAACAAACCGAAACCTGAATAAGCACTGATGCCTGCATGAACCTAGGTACTTTTGTTTTTTGTTTTTAAAGAGTTGAAACACAAAAGTAAAAACAAAACAAAAAAGGTTCCGCTTTTGTTTTCTACTTAAAACTAACAATTTTTTTCTGGATGATTAATATATCAATCTCATTAACTCATTCATTCCTTAACTTTTAAATTGGACTTTGAATGGGTAAGGTTCAAATATGACTTTGTGGGTGAATGGGTTAATACTTACATCTTAAATTTATTTAATTGTTTATGTATCCAACCAGTTAAAAATTATATGTGGAATTGTGTTGGATAATAGATAAATAAAAGCCGCTAATACGTATATGTTAAATTGGTTGGATGATTAATGTATCAAATTTGTAATCACTTTCTCGGCCGAATGGTATGCTAGTTCATTAAATAAAACCGTGAATACTCACGTCTCGTAGACCTCCAGCCAATAGTACGGCGTATACCATCATGACAGGGATCGTGAAGAAGGACATACAGATGTGCTAAAATATAAATATCACTATGTTATATATATAGAATTTACATGAGTTTCCATTTGATATGCGATTTATAAAACGAGTCTAAGTTTTTTTCAGGCGAGCTAAAATGAAAATTTGTGACAAGTTTCATAAATTTGATGTGAATTGAAAACGAGTGTAAGATCCTTTTTATCACATAATCAAGATTTGTGGCATTTATTCGTGTAAAACAACAACTTTCATGCAACCTTGAATGTAAAAAGCCGCCATTTTGGCTCCAGTGCGTAAGTATGTGACGTCACAACTGAAACAATTGAAACTTACAACCAATCACAGGGCTGATTGGTTATATTATATGGGTTATAACGCAAAACAAATATGGCATGAGTATATTCACCTGATAACACAGTACAGTATGTGATAAACGGAGGTACACTTAGGACACTCACAATATTGTTTTCTACATTAATTTTCTCGAGTGCTCGACATTACATCTCGAGCTCTGTAATAATTAGTGCTCGACGAGGTATGACGATTGCTTGGGAAGTTATATTGAACACTCGAGATCATAAATCGAGGTATGTCGATTGCTTGGGAAGTTATATTGAACACTCGAGATCATAAATCGAGGTATGTCGATTGCTTGGGAAGTTATATTGAACACTCGAGATCATAAATCGAGGTATGTCGATTGCTTGGGAAGTTATATTGAACACTCGAGATCATAAATCGAGGTATGTCGATTGCTTGGGAAGTTATATTGAACACTCGAGATCATAAATCGAGGTATGTCGATTGCTTGGGAAGTTATATTGAACACTCGAGATCATAAATCGAGGTATGTCGATTGCTTGGGAAGTTATATTGAACACTCGAGATCATAAATCGAGGTATGTCGATTGCTTGGGAAGTTATATTGAACACTCGAGATAATAAATCTAGACCTCAAGTAGTCATGTCGTTCGATCGAGATAACTGATGTAGCCAATAGTATAGATCGTGTCCTGACAGTATCACTGTACTTACCACTGTATCGTAACCTCACGTTTGGCAACTGCTTGGTATCTATTTAATCACATTTCACGAGCCTTACTTTTTCTTGCTCTCGCTCAGACGTCCCAGAAAACGCATTTACATGATATATAATCACAATATTAAGACATATCAATTACTAATGTGCGAGTCGACGATATAATTGAAGCATACACTAGAAATGGATACGTCATAAACGTTGTCACATAAATGATTTTTATAACACATTTTCGTAATATTATTAAGCTGGATATCATTTTTGACAGTTCGCTCAGGTTCTAATCACTACAAATTGGTGTAACACCACTGGATGCAGCAATCACCGTCATGCAAACCGTTCGCTGAGGTAAGTTTTAACGTTGTTTCAAATTAACATGAAACATGTATTCGTCAACACTCGTCATTGTTAGTCAGTTCCCATTCGCTGTACACTAAAGGAGCTTTGTGATAAGATTATTCCAAATATCTCCAAAGGAGTCGAACAGGTTGCCTTTTTTTCCCCAAGTATAGCAATCTATATAAATCTGACAAAAGGTATCATTATAGAAAAGTTAATGCTTGTCGGTGAGGGTATGAAAACGGACAAATGTGGCTACAATCCTTTTTACTACTTATACAGTATGAAACATCTCTTTTGAATAATGTTATAGCTTAAACACGCTAAAGTCATCTGATATTGAATCCGTATAACCTAGTAGGGCCTGGAGGCTTGATATCAGGTTTCCCGATTTTTTGTTTAGACATATTGAATTACATTTGCAATTTAATAAATGGATGAAAAATATAGCTTTTGATAATATAAATCAAAAAAGTTCTTAAATGGGCAAAAAGGCATGTCAACAAATATTTACTAATTGCCCTTTTTAGTGCGAGAAATATAAGAGTCGTAAAAGTACAACACAAATACGCGAAGTAGAAATCGCGTATACTTACTGCATACACAATACTTCTTTTGGTAAACAACACTCCTGCTAGGCCCATCACACTGTTGATCACCTGTACTGGCATCATTGCGCATGCGCAGGAATACGTTATAACGACCAGCATATATCCCAGTGGAATTCTCCCGAACACATACAGTGTGTCAACAAAGGATGTGTGGACCGTCTGGAGGACCGCGTCGGTATGTAGCATCACCAGGGCGTACACGGCACATCCTGACGAGATCAGCTGAAACATTAAAACATTTCATATAATAATAATATACAACATTTGATATAGCGCATCATCTACCACTCTAAAGCGCGTTATAGTACATAGATATACAATCAATACAATGAGCATATACATTAATCAATTCAATTTTTGGGGAATTAGCAGGAGCGGCCTTATCAGGCGCTAACTACTAGTCATATGCCACCTGGCTAATATCCCACTATGAGTGTATGCCTGCTTGTGTGCTGGAGATGTAACGTGTTCTGTTTGTAGTTGGACCGTGCTTCCAACGGCATTATTTAAGCACATATACCGAACATCCACCCAAGACAAATTTATACTCCACCTGGGTTGTTGGAGTTGTGTGGGCAGGAGAAAACACTCTGAATATCCGTGTTAACCACTCGACCAATCCGACCATTTCATACATTACTGAGACTTTTTTTCCAAAATATTTCACACTCACAAACATGTTAAATACATTTTTTTTATGAATTGTAGGCGTAGTTAATTAATATATATACATCTCAAATGATAATAAGCATTTTCCTACTTCTGAATTATAAAATAACGAGAATAACAAAAAATACCAAAGGGAGACAACTCTTGATACAAACCATTTACATATTGTATATGTACATGGACGAGGATGTCAATGCATAATGTCCTTTATTCCGTAGGCCTTACAGCCCTTATGTTAAAAACAAAATATCATTATGTACAATGTATACAAACAAACAGAGAGTGATCATTAAAGGAGTGTTTACATGCTGAAACAGTATTATAATTAACACTTCAATTTATTTTTTTCTTTTATAAATGTTCCCCATTTTATTTATTTCCTAACATTGTTGCCACTTGATAGCTGAACTAGTCAAATGCATATGGTATCGTATAATGACCACCATGTCCCTGGAGCATCACACCATGTAGGGGCAGCTCCTGTCCAGGAAGATGATGATGATGAATGGCGGTATTCGGCGAATAAACGACAAAGATGTATAGGAAATAAATAATTAAAGACTAGATCTTTCTTTAGTCGCTTACATCGAAAAGACAAATCGAGTTGACCTTAAGACAAATTAAACATGAAGTGTGAAGTCTGTTAAAATCTTAAATTTCATTTAACAGATATTTTGGTAATTGGGATTTGTAAAATTGTATCTAGTTTTTCGCTGATACTGGAACTTGTGTAAGTCTACGTACGACGTAACTTTAACATATTGTATCACAGCAATGAAATGATCCAAAAATCAAAATTCAAAAACAGAATGTAAATGTCATATTAAACTAAATTTGATAAATTATTGCGAAAGCTTACAAATGTATTCATACCCACAGGCAATGTTAAAAAGTGTCAATTCCATGGGGTAATGACACAGTCAAGATTTGGTACTGTAGTTTAATTCAGTCCAACCTGGGTAAAAATTGAAATATTGGGAAAAGAATTAGAAAATAACTTAGTAATAGTTCTACCTTGTACTTTAATGAGTTCAGTATTATAAAATGTCAAGTGACGGTATCTATACTAAGGTAATCATGTAGTTTTTACCTCTATTGGTACGTACGCTTTTGACATTTTGCGCTCAATTGCCTTTATGCGAGAGTAACGTGCCGTACCCTTCTAATGAGTACAGACGCGTTAGACCAGTGGTGTGTGTAGATCTGTCGTATCCTTGGTCCTGGTATATAATTTTAAAGACCTTGAATGGTTTATATACATTTGCTACCCGAGGTATTTAACATAATGGCGATCTGACTTTATAAATCGTGTACAGACTGATCACAGTTTTAAATAAAGAAGACACGCAGCGTATCAGATGTTGTGTTAAAGATTATAAAGAGACAACACCCTGGTAGGCTTGTTCAGTGCTCGAGGTATATATCATTACGTCAAGGTGTATGGGTGTGCGTGCCGACATAATCACTTATCGATATTGGCTTGGTTTTAAACAAAAGTTGCAATTACTCAATTATAGTGACGAATATTTGCAATGAAAAATAGGTTATATAGAGAGCCCTTTCTTCACAAAATATGTCCATACTGTAAAAGTGCTTATTTTAGCGGACTCAATTTTTTGTGTTGTACGAAATTAGAACAGACTAGCCCACCGATGAATTATTACACTTTCAATACGTGCAAAAGAGAAATATATCTTCAATGAGCGAAAAATGTTTTAGGGTATATCTACAGCCCGAAGGCGCTAGAAATAATTTACCGCTAAAATATGTACTTAACAGTAACTTGCACAGCGTCGTTAATAGACCTTTAGATAGGCTTAAGGGTGACTATTCAATATACTGTGATTATCATATTGTTAGCGAGCTATTTCTATCATTATTGGATTAACAAATCTGTGATCTAAGTGTTGTTATGGCACAACTGTTCTTTGGTGTGTTATATGCTTCAATTATCAACATTATAAGCAACATAACATTTTTTTGATAAACGGTAGGATTCCACTGACTTCCGGATTTTTTTTTGATTTTTTCTAAAACTTATAAAGCGTTATGGTATTATACCACATCATAGAAGTTCAAAATGTTTGATAAAAACCAACAGTGAATGTAACCGCTAAAGATATATAAGTTCCAAGTAAAATAAGATCGGGCGCATAACATGTAGCTACATTTAGTTGGAATTTTGAAAATTGTCACACAATAACATCGAAATTAAAAGAAAATGCATTTAACATAACTGAATTAATTAATAGCTATACAAGATTATATCACTAGTCAGACTTGTCAATATCAATATACCGTAAAGTGTTTTCATGTGTAACAGGACGTTTGTTTACAACCATCAGATATTATTTGAATACCCATATAACAATAAAATAAGTGGTGTATTTGAAAATGCATAAAGTAAAACATACAATATGTTTTTTTATACCAAATAAATAAAAAACGAACCAGTTTATATAGGATTCCTCTGAGCTCGTGATCCCCTAACAACAAAACAGAATGCAGTGGTCGTGTCGCTCTCTTATTGTATGTCCTAAATATTAATAGTTTCTCTTTTGCGACCAACCAGGGTCGTTTTCATCTTTTCTTTTTAAAAATCCTACAGGTCCTGGGCTAAGGACTCGGTATGCAGCTTTTTGGGGGAAGCTTTTAAATGCAACATTTAAACGAAGGAAACAATGTCAGTTTCTATAAAAGTGTTTCTTTTATAATTAAACCGCATTTGAAATTAAGTTTATACCTTTTTTTGGCTATTGACCCAACAGCACTACTTAATTTAGAGGAAAACGTCGATAGAACTGACGGTGACCAGAAACAACTGCAAGTAACCCTTGCCTGTATGAGTTTAGTGAAAACTTTCATTTATTTGTGTTAAAATAAAAAATAAAATGTTGTTTATGAATTTATAATTAGCATGATGATGATGATAAAAAGATTATCTGGATGAAAAGATGATGGCATACAAAAGCAGAAAACAATATTGTGGTCGTTGATAGTATGGTGCTTATAGATATTGAATATATGGCTTTGTTTATATGTACAGAATGCATATTGCATTTTTATCTCAAGCCAAGGAAACTTCACACAGTTTGACCAAGGAGCGTAAAATATTACTAACACGTAGCTAAATTTGAAAGCGTTTATATACGATATATTAAACAAATGACGCAGTTGATCCAGGGGTAGGTGGGTACCGGGTAGGTATTTATGTTGGCCTGCTTTTATTTTCCTACTCCTATTTTAAATGATTATATACTCAATAATGGTGGTTAAAGTCATGAAAGCTTGTTTTAGTTTTATATCTTTTTAAACGAGGAAAGAGTGTTTGGGACTAGTCTCGTTCAACAAAACGTTTGATCACTGCGTAATTCTCAATTGGATGTAGCATGCGAAGATAACAAGAGTCTGATTGAGCAAGACCAGTTTGGGACTTATTACCGGGTGGCTACGTATATTGTGGATGGATTGGAAGTTTTATTGTTTGGAAGCTTGCCAGATCTTAAATTTTCTGTTTGGACTACTGTATTTTTTATATTTTTTTTATAATTATTTTTTTTCAAAGATTTTACATAACAATCTTGACATACACATGACATATCCACACATATTCAAAAGCATACAAAACAAAAAAACACAATTGTTATTAACAAGAGAAATCTTACCCTGAACAACAGCACAGAAACGAGGAGAATATTGACTCCTATTGGCATCAACCCACGCTTAACTTTAGGGTCGCAGATGAAAGGTAAGCAGGCCATGTTTTTATAAATCCGTGTTGTCTAATAGCCAAAGATGCTGTAGTACTAAATCAGTTTCATTGTCTATACGTATGCATTCAAGCTGAAAAAGAAACAAATGATAAGTTTATATGATAAGTGACACGCATCATAATTCCATAGATATCGGTCAATTATTCCTATAAAGGTGAATAACACTTGTTCAGTGATTTGTTATTTTTATGGGGTTTATTATGAATTCACAGCATGAATGTTACACTATTAACCCAAGAGAGAACAGACAGAATGACATGTCCAAAGTTTTAGTTACCGAAATATCAAATGGAAATTGCACAAAGATAAGGCCAGGTCACATCCTCGTAATCCGTCTGTTTTTTGGGGAAATCCGCCCTAAAACAGAAAACATGGTAATTGCTTCATGAACAAACAACAAGAGAATGCCAAAGTGTCAATGAAACCATCATTCTAACTCAAAACCGATAAAACCACGACAAAATGTTCACAAAGGAAACTTTTACATGGAGAACCTGGAAACGGTATAAGGAAAATAAGACCAGGTGTTCTGGAAGGGTAAGCGTCGTCTGCTTTATCAACGAACCACGTAAATCTAAGTCGAATCCAAAGTAAAAAGTTTCAACTAGGGTATCTATACTGCATGTTGGGATTCTCCAATTAATCATGTGTTGTTTATCAATCAGAGTGATGTGGAGTTTAAACAATGTATGTATTTTATTGTACCTGTACAATTGTTTAGAATGCTTTAGACAATTATCATAATTCTTTTGAACTTTGGTACAACTGATATGTCTAAAATGGATAAAACGGTCATATGGTGAAATATTAAATTAATTTGCTGCAGTCAAGGTATTGATACTGTATTCAGGGATGTTTCTATCCATTCTCTGTTATGTTTATAGATCAGGATGATGTTTAATTTAACCAACATATTTAGCAATACTTGTAAACATGTTTAAGTACAATTTATACATCAATTTCCATTCCCTCTAACGTCAGTACCAGTGATGATTCCTAAATGAAAGACCACTTTGTGTAGACTATGGCTTTCTGCATTAACTTACTGAAGATTTAAATATGTGGGACCTTACTGTTTATTTCTAATTATAATTTTGTTCAGATACTATATATGACAAACAGAGCAAGGACAGTGAAATGACTTTTACAATTATATGCCGTATCTGCTCCTCAAATAAAAACAAGGAGGAAATATATGAACCACACATTAAGTCAGAAACAGGGTTTCCAGAAAGGTAAGCTTTTCTACACCAACTCTGACGCTTTCCGGCATAGAAAGCGCACATTTAATCACAGTGTGGCCTCTAGATTGAAGCCGAGTGGAAACCCTGACTACATATTTCTACTCTCCGTGGAAGGGTTTCATTATTCCAGATAACCGTGATACCTACAGCATACGATAATAGAGAAGCCACTGTAAGATTTAATCTTCAGGGAAGAACAGAATGACACCATTAGTAAAGAAAAGTAAAAGTAAATACAGTAAGGTTAATTAAGCTGACATCTGTCAGTGTGGTGACCATACTAGGACTGTTGTAGTTAAATGTCAAGTGATGAAGCAGAAAAAGGCAATTGTTGGTGTCTGTAATCCTAGATTCTTGGAGAAAATGAGACGCAGGTAGGTCTCAATATTCATGTTACCCTATTACAACATATCATCATGCATTTAAATGTCACATAAAATCCGTTTCACATCCATCCAAACCAACAACAGTCTTAAAAATACTGTTTACTCCCCATTGGAATATTGGTAGTATCTAGTATTTATGTTTAAGGTAAATGGTACTCAGTTTCAATGTGAATTGTTTTCCATTGGCTTTAAGGCCCATAAATTGGAAATTACTTTGATAATATGCAAATATGATTCCTGGATGGCAACATTGATGAGTTTTTATGTGTTCTGTTTTATTTCTATTTTCAAATACTTAAACTTTGAATACATTATATAAATAATATATCACAACATATGATTTCTATGGAATATTTAATTTGAAAAGGACTTAAATAAAGAAGAGTGCTAATTTGGGCCTTCTGGTGGTGATCACTGATAAGTTATCATTCTATATATACAATGTACATACCTAGGGGTTATGTCGTCATTAAACGACATAAAACCAAGGTCAGCTTAGAGACCATTCCAAGATATGAGGGTGTAAATAACTTTTTTAACACTTTGAATAAAAGATAACAGTTGTCGTGTGGCGTGTGTGCAAAAAAAACCACCCAAAATAAATAGGAATAAAAATAGTTAAAAAAGGTTTAATAAAGTACCTCGAATCAGAGGGCCTGAGTTGGCATCCAAGCTTTATAACAATAGTAATGTAGGTAATGATATAGTATACATTGTTGGTACCCTTGACCTCAAAATCTAATATAATCAGGCGAACTGTCCCAACCTTTGTCTACCTCGCCTTGTTTACTGTAGCAGAACAGTGTTAACAAAGCACGTATCGTTTCTATTCGCAATGAAACATTTTATTTAAAGAACACCTTATAAATGGTGATAAGGAACAAATAGTTCGGTTGGCATTTAAATCAATAAAATGAACAGATTCATAGCTGTTACATCAGACGATTAAGGAGTTTGGTTTCCTGTCATTATGCACGTATTTCAATGTTTAAGGTAGCGTAACATGCCCTATGTAAGGCATTCCTGATTACGCTTATTGTTCTAAACGCGGAACTTAAATGGACTTGTGACAATATGGTTTCAACTCAGAACACCAGGCCCCGTTTGCTCAAACATTAGTTAGCTTTAACCAGTGGCTGGTGAACATTTCAAATTGTTATTAAAAACGGACAAAGGCTTTCAAATCAAAATTTTATCATCAATATACGTCTATTCTTTACCCAACCAACCTATTGCAGTGAAACGATATTATATGTTCTTGATTTTGTTTTATTCATATTTTATCACTGATTTACTCTAACAAACCTTTAAGCAAACAGGGCCAGGGAGTATATTCGTCTGTCCTTTAGGTTTATTTAAGGATGTACCTTCCCTTTGACGGCGTATACGGTAGTATGAACGCAGTTGGCAATGGACATTTCTATGGTGCGCGTTAGAAATTAGATGTTTAGAATAATAGGTTCGATGTTTCTAGATGTTGAAGGAACAAAACAATGGCTGTCATCGAACAGTTATCTCGCTTAATCGTCAACGGCGCCATACGTGAAACAGGTATCACTCCGCCGAGCCTTTTTTCATTGCGTATACGCTAATTAATTCGCAGTCAGGGTTTACTAAGCTGAAGGAGGGAGAGATGTAAACATGTACTAATTATCCCGAAAGAATACAACAACATTGAGTTTAAACCATATTATGTTCTGGTCGATGAAACATGCACAATTGCAAAAACATTTGATGAGATGATCGATAAACAACTACTAACGTACTTAAACATAGTCCTTCTCATCGTTCGATCGTAACACGCTCAGCTGAAAATACACGTATTCCTTTATTGCGATAGCGTAAAAACAACATAGGGGAAAATGATAGGTAGTTTACATGGTTCACTCAATGTAATGCAATTATAATGGCTTGTAAATATTCTAGTTGATTTTTAGTTATTTGTTTAGTAGATACAAACAGTTTACATTTTTAACAATATATTGCCGAGGAGTAGCATATGAACATTTAATTGGTGAGGGGGTAAAGTACTCCCGATCCATTATACAACATTTCCACTTGGACATAAGGGAACTTTCAAACAGATGACGTCTTTAGCATCCCCGTACCACTGCCAAAAGGCGTAACTGAATTCCGGTATTTGTTTTTTCTGGCATGAACATTTACTTGATACATCATTTCTAAAAAGAAAAGCATACCTAGCGGGACTTAAATGATAATAATAAAGACAAAATATAACCAATAGTGTTTTGAGTATAAAACATCAGTGGGCTAGACCGGGATTCCAACCTCGGTCCTTATATTGTTATACTATCGCTTTAACCGATTGAGCTACCTTGTCATCGGCAGTGTTATGCCCATATTTTCTGCAATTATATCCAAACGGAAGTTAAGGGGATGTTACTGTGATAAGGGAAAATCATAGTTCAGTAGGACAGGGATCCTTAAAAACTTAAATGCATCCGAGACAAAGTCTAGTGTAATATCTCGATCACCTCGAGAAGTCTAGTGTAATATCTCGATCACCTCGAGCTTTGGTCGAGGTGGGCGTTGAAGTTTGCCTAAGAAGGATTATGATTTACCTATTAAGTAGAAGTAGGAAAGGATCAATCACAGTAATACATTTGACACATGGGAGATCGTTACTATGTAAAGTGCTGTAGATATACGCATTTCAGAAATATTTAACGATGAAACAGTTTGCAAAATAGTATTTAAAATGTACTTTAATTTAAGTGAAAGGAAGAAACAAACATTAATAGCATGAAACATTTTAAACTCTATTTTGCGAAATGTTTCATGCTATTCATGTATGCTTTTTTTCTGTCACTTAAATTTAACATTAACGTTAATGGCAATGTTAAATACCACCCGGGCATCAAGAAGTCAAGGCATGAATTACCTATAAATACCACCCGGGCATCAAGAAGTCAAGACATGACTAACCTATAAATACCACCCGGGCATCAAGAAGTCAAGACATGACTAACCTATAAATACCACCCGGGCATCAAGAAGTCAAGACATGACTAACCTATAAATACCACCCGGGCATCAAGAAGTCAAGACATGACTAACCTATAAATACCACCCGGGCATCAAGAAGTCAAGACATGACTAACCTATAAATACCACCCGGGCATCAAGAAGTCAAGACATGACTAACCTATAAATACCACCCGGGCATCAAGAAGTCAAGACATGACTAACCTATAAATACCACCCGGGCATCAAGAAGTCAAGACATGACTAACCTATAAATACCACCCGGGCATCAAGAAGTCAAGACATGACTAACCTATAAATACCACCCGGGCATCAAGAAGTCAAGACATGACTAACCTATAAATACCACCCGGGCATCAAGAAGTCAAGACATGACTAACCTATAAATACCACCCGGGCATCAAGAAGTCAAGACATGACTAACCTATAAATACCACCCGGGCATCAAGAAGTCAAGACATGACTAACCTATAAATACCACCCGGGCATCAAGAAGTCAAGACATGACTAACCTATAAATACCACCCGGGCATCAAGAAGTCAAGACATGACTAACCTATAAATACCACCCGGGCATCAAGAAGTCAAGGCATGACTAACCTATAAATACCACCCGGGCATCAAGAAGTCAAGACATGACTAACCTATAAATACCACCCGGGCATCAAGAAGTCAAGGCATGACTAACCTATAAATACCACCCGGGCATCAAGAAGTCAAGACATGACTAACCTATAAATACCACCCGGGCATCAAGAAGTCAAGGCATGACTAACCTATAAATACCACCCGGGCATCAAGAAGTCAAGGCATGACTAACCTATAAATACCACCCGGGCATCAAGAAGTCAAGGCATGACTAACCTATAAATACCACCCGGGCATCAAGAAGTCAAGGCATGACTAACCTATAAATACCACCCGGGCATCAAGAAGTCAAGACATGACTAACCTATAAATACCACCCGGGCATCAAGAAGTCAAGGCATGACTAACCTATAAATACCACCCGGGCATCAAGAAGTCAAGGCATGACTAACCTATAAATACCACCCGGGCATCAAGAAGTCAATGCATGACTAACCTATAAATACCACCCGGGCATCAAGAAGTCAATGCATGACTAACCTATAAATACCACCCGGGCATCAAGAAGTCAAGACATGACTAACCTATAAATACCACCCGGGCATCAAGAAGTCAAGGCATGACTAACCTATAAATACCACCCGGGCATCAAGAAGTCAATGCATGACTAACCTATAAATACCACCCGGGCATCAAGAAGTCAATGCATGACTAACCTATAAATACCACCCGGGCATCAAGAAGTCAATGCATGACTAACCTATAAATACCACCCGGGCATCAAGAAGTCAATGCATGACTAACCTATAAATACCACCCGGGCATCAAGAAGTCAATGCATGACTAACCTATAAATACCACCCGGGCATCAAGAAGTCAATGCATGACTAACCTATAAATACCACCCGGGCATCAAGAAGTCAATGCATGACTAACCTATAAATACCACCCGGGCATCAAGAAGTCAAGGCATGACTAACCTATAAATACCACCCGGGCATCAAGAAGTCAAGGCATGACTAACCTATAAATACCACCCGGGCATCAAGAAGTCAATGCATGACTAACCTATAAATACCACCCGGGCATCAAGAAGTCAATGCATGACTAACCTATAAATACCACCCGGGCATCAAGAAGTCAAGACATGACTAACCTATAAATACCACCGGGCATCAAGGCATGACTAACCTATAAATACTCTAAAACCTAAATATGTCTTCCTTATTTTATATCGGTTTCCATACTCTTCTGAATGTGATAGGAACCATTATGTCATGTGTGTAGCACTAACCCAATTTTCGGGGAGCATATTTCGCCTGTTACGTCTTTCCTTTGTTGTTTTCTTGTCTGTGGCGTATTTTTGTCTGCTCGTTCACTATGAGAACAGAGTTTGTCCATGTGTATTGACACTTCGGTTACTATTTAACTATTTTAATGTGATATTCAAACTTTGCGTACAATTATGATATTCGAGAATGCCAACATCCATCCGGTAGTGTGCTACTGATAATAACGTATGTATTCAAAAGCTAGGTACGAGACACGGGAAGCTGAGTAACGTACAATATTACGACAATAGTACAAGCTGTAATGGTATTTATGGAATCACCAAAGCAGATTAAATAGAGTTAAATAGTTTTTATGATCACGGCGTTGTCAACTGTTCTTGTAATTTAATATACAGACACGTATAAATTAATTGCATAATTCAAACACGTTAAACCATTGTCAAGATAAAAATGTAAATTATAATAGCTATAAATCACCGTTTTATAAAAAAAATTCCGATAAAGTGCACATATAATAAAACAAATGGACCAAGGTTTTGTGTACTTATATCAGGACGTTATTTATATATACGGTTGAACTTGTAACTTAAGCCCTAACTATGTAAGCGAGTCATGTCTGCCGTTATTTGTATTGAACAAACACATTGCTGTATATATGTAACAAATCAACGAAATGACAATAGCTGCTTGGTTGTAAATAGAGGTATAAAGTATAAAGACATGCCTACAGAACAAGCTAGCATTCAACTTATATTTGTCTGTACAACTGCAAATCTGTATGAGGGGGTCTGAGCAGAGCAGACACTTGTCTAGACAGACAATTACTCGGGTCGTTTAATTATAGAAACTTCCATAGTTTGACCGGAATTAATTATATAGAGAATCATTTTCCCATAGGCAGGTTGATACGTTGGTTTTCTTTTCAGTCTAGTCGCCAAAATCGTGATTTACTATGTGAATCGATGTAACTAGGGCAAAACATAATAATTATACGGAGAATCCTGGACCCGTACTAGACAGATAAGACCATGTGTTCCGGAATGCACAGCGTTTAACAAGCCTTGATACAGTTGCCTAACAGTTGGTCAAACACCAAGAACAAATAGATGAGTGATTCATTATGTTAAAACTGAACAATAACATATCCACAGTATCCCAAATAATTTATATAGAAATACTGATATCTTAACTCATAATTAAACATATCTAAATTTTAACTCATTCACCCATGAAGACACATTTGAACTCTTCTGATTCAAATTGGAATAGTTCATTATGAAAGTTGAATGAGTTAAACTTGTTCTCATGTAACACCAAGCTAATACACCTTTAAGCTAACGGTAATAACAGTAGTTAGATATATTCATCGTTCCAGACCCTTTATATTGATCAAGATGTTGGTTCATATACAAACCTTAATATGAATCAATGGTTTAATACGTACTTTTTCTAGCATGATAAAACTTAATAATTATAATGACAATGTAATTACTGGAAACAATGAACACATAGAACATGCTATGGAGGCGACACCTTTGTAACCAACAGAATGGTATAACTCACCCCTACACAGCCGTCCTGAGGTTTGTTGTGTATGCATAGGTTACAAAACTATATCCATGTTATAGAACACTTAGTGTAATTATAAAGATAATCATTATATAAGTACACAAATCCTTCTTCATATTTGAAATATGTTCATTCATTTGTGGCATAATGACACCTCCGCCAATGTGTTTCCTTTTATAACATAAATAATACTGGTCTGCCATAAACACTTGACAACGCTGAACCACCACACAAGGGGATTCTCACTGCCACAATTACCTTTAAATAGTATGTTACGTGTACATGTCCCGTTGTAATTAGGGCTAATACAACCGTATCGTATCGTTATAGTTTCTTTAAAACCGTATCGATTTTGGTTGTCTGTATCACAATTCAGGTAATACTAACAGTATCAATCTATTTCTTATTTATTTTTAAAACATGTGTACATGTACTTTTAGCTTTGGAACCCCCCCCACCACCACCACCACCACCACCAAAGATGTGATCTACTGTGTAGTCGGGCACAAAAGTACGGACAAATCATATAGAATACATTTTTTTATTTAATATACTATTTTACATCATGACAAAATTCTGAAAAATCCTTCGCATATACTTTAAAAAGTTGATTTTCTAGGCAGGTAAGTGTATATTTTTTCACAACCAATAACATTTTCTATGTGAAGTTTCGATGACTAGTACGATATGTACACTGTCACCTTCATCAGACAAATGACCAATGAAGCGTATGCACACAAAGGTGCAAAATGTGTACGAGTTGTCCACAAAATCGATGTCGATTTCGGCTACGCTGGAAACGTTCGACAATAGTTGTTTTATATGTACCGAAATGACTCAATTCAGCTACGCTGTGTTAACACTTGGTCATAGCTGTGCAAGAGTTTTTGAGCCCCCTCGTCTCGTTTTAGAACTGGCCCACTGCGGCGTATCGTGATGGCTTCCTTTATCTGCCGCTTGAACAGATTGCTCTCTCTGTCCAAAACTTTGGAGTTATCCCAGTCAATCACATGGTTTTTCTGTGTGGCATGGTCTGTGATTGCCGATTTATCTATCTGGGACTCCGACTGTTTTTTTTCCAGATATGGTGAATTTCCTACCTTCTTGGGTTGCTGTGTCTTTCCGGTGTTCACCAAGGCGGACCCCAAATCGCCTTCCAGTCCCTCCAATATACGACGCGTCGCAGTTTTTGCATCCGATTTTGTATACGCATTCTGCGACGTTTTCTTGCGCTGTTTTATCCTTACGGTTTCCTAGGATATTGCGAACCGTCTTGTGGGGCTTCATGGCTATTGCTATGCCATGCCGCGATATATCCTCTGGATGGTTTCGGATATACCCTTTATATCCGGGATGACCACTTGACCTTTGGTTTTGTTCCTATCCTTGATTGGCCTTTTCTTGTTCTTCTCCTTACGTTGACACTGTTTTTTTTACCCGTTTTAGGGCCAATTCCGCATATGCACATGTTCTCATTGCCCTAGCGATGTGATTCTGCTCTTGTGTTTTGTCCTGTTGTTCTGTGACTATTGTATCACATCTGTTGAGTAATGTGCGTATAACACCTAACTTCTGATGTAAAGGATGGTGAGATTGAAGTTCAGGTATTGGTCCGTATGGGTCTTTTTTCTATAGACAAATACCTTCACGGTTCCGTCTTTGTTCTTTACCAGTAGGTTGTCTAGGAAGGGCATTGTGCGATTGGTTTCTTCCTCACATGTATATTTGATGTTGTTAGTGGCATAGTGTTGATATGTGTGGTCAAATCTTTCTGTGACCCCTTCTTGAGTTTCTCAAGTATGTCGTCAACATAACGTTTCCATAGGCCAGGCTTACATTCTATGGGGGCAGTAGCTAATGCTTCTTGCTCCAGATGTTCCATGAACAAATTGGCAACAATGGGAGACACTGGACTACCCATAGCAGTGCCGAAGCGTTGTTGAGAGATGTTGTTCCGGAAACTAGAATATGTTGTTGTGAGCACAAACTCCAGGAAATCCATGATGTCCTGAATCTGAAGGTTTGTGTTTTTACGCCAGGATCTGTCGAATTATAAGCGTTTCCGAATGATTGTAAGTGCGTCGTCAATGGGTGTGTTAGTAAAGAGAGAGACAACATCATGTGAAATGAATTCTTCGTCTTCCTGAATCATGATGGTAGACATAGCTTCCGCTAGATGTTTTGAATTCTTTACATGGTGTTCCGATTTACCCACTAGCGGTCCAAGAATGTCTGATAATGATCATTTGGTCATTTTTCTGACGAAGGTGACAGTGTACATATCGTACTAGTCATCGAATCGTCACATAGAAAATTGTATTGGTTGTGTAAAAAGAACTTATCATAATCCATACTTACCAACCTGAAGAAAATGTTTAAAAAAGATAAGTGTATAGTGTTACGTATAGTATCGTTAGCTGCGTATTGCATTGTGAGTTAGGCGCATCGTTCCAACCCGTAATATGTTTAGCCACCTCGAGCCTGCCAATTCAACAAACTTTTAACGTTGACATTGTGGTGTTGAACACCATTTACCACGGTCCCCTCCCAGGTTGTGGGTATCTATGTACATGCACATTGCAGGTTTTTACTTCCTTGTTAAGGATTGGGCTACCCAATGATATTCCATTTAAACACCATTGTGTGCTACAATGAACGCTATTGACGAGATTCTCGGCCTACATTCTGACTTCAACTGAATTTGACTATTGGTTCGATGCACAACGTTATGTATGTAATTGGCTTTCTGTAGAGTTCTGATCACGCACTCTAATACGCAACATAATATCAACACATACGTGATCGACAAGACGTCTTTAAAGGGCGTTACTCATCAATTGTGTTTTGATGAAAACTGTGTGTGTGTGTGTGTGTATGTAGTTATTGTGTTGTGCTTGTCCCATATTTATTATACAGCCATGCTCAACTGGAATCGATGTATTGCGTTAAAAAAACTATTCAGCAGCTGGAAGATCAACAGAACCTACCAAGTCATCATCTTATTAATCGACAATGGGTAATTTCAAGGTAAAATTGGTATGGTCTAAATCTGATCTCTGGCTGTTTTTTAGGTTATTCAAAGCGCATTTTCTAAATCTACATCTTGGCTCTCACTTCATTAGTATAATACCTGATAACAGATCTGTATATTTTGATAACATATGTTTTCTTCTGACTTCACATTTTGTTGTGCTAACTTTGTGTTGTGATATTGAAAGTAATCCGGGGCCAGTACAAAATATAAACTTGGTTCATTTGAATGTAAGATCTCTCAGAAACAAGACAGCCTTGGTAGAAGCAGAATTTGAGGATAATGATATAGTCTGTATAACAGAATCTCATTTAAACCCTTCAATATCTAACCTTGACATTCAGATGCACTCCTTCAATTCCAATCCTCATAGAAAAGATAGAACTACTGGTCCGGGGGGTGGGGTTATAGTTTATCACAAAGATACTATTGTTATGAATAGGCGAATGGACCTAGAAAAGGATGATGTTGAACTTATATGGTTAGAAGTATTAGTTAATAATCATATATTTCTTCTTGGATGTTTATACAGACCAGAAAGTAATGTTGAATACTGGAATAAATTAGATAATACGTTGACCAGAGCTACAGATACTTCACTGGATGTGGTACTGACAGGTGATATCAATATTGATATGTTAAATCATCCGTTGAATGATCACTTATCAAGACTCCTTATCAAACATAATTTACTTAGTCTTATTAATGAACCCACAAGAATAACACCTGACAGTGCCACATCCATTGATATTATCTTTACTAATAACCAAAACATAGTTAAAAATACTCATGTATCTCCACCATTTTGCAGTGATCACTCCTCAGTACATGCTTCAATTTCTTATTCTGTATTTAAAAAAGTAAGCTATAAAAAAACTATTTTAAAATATGATGAAGCAGACTTTGATAGAATGAACAATGTCTTATTTGATATTGATTGGTTGAATTTGTCTTCAGATCAGGATTCTAATACTTATAATAGCACTATAGTCAATGCAATCACGGAGCAGGTCAATAGATTCATTCCTACAAAAGTAATAACTGTGCGCCCAAATGATAAACCATGGATGAATAATACAATTAGATTGAAAATGAGACAACGAAATAGAATTCACCGAAAAGCTAAACTAACAAATAATCCCCATTATTGGGAACAATTTAGAACCTTACGAAATGAAACTATTGACCTTATCCGTGAGGCAAAAGCAAACTTTATAAAAAATCTTGAAAAGTCACTAAATGAAAATGTGGTTACTCCAGACAAATGGTGGAAGATAGCTAAATCTATTACCAATTTTTCTAATAAGTCATCTTCTATTCCACCACTTGAATCCAACGGCCAAATAATCCATCATCCAACTGAAAAAGCAGAGCTTCTTAACAATCACTTCACTAATATTTCTACATCAACACCTGACCTTGAATTACCCCAAACAGCACAACCCAATGCCCCCTATTCACTATCAAACATTCATATCACTGAACAAGATGTTTCCGATCAAATTAATATACTCAACACTAATAAACCCCCAGGCTCTGATGGTGTTATTCCTAAAATTGTGAAAAAGCTTCATGCTTCTCTTAAATTACCTCTTATGTTATTATTCAATAAGACACTAGAGTCTGGTATAATACCTTTTAGTTGGAAACAAACAAATGTTAATGCTATTTATAAAGGAAATGGCTCATCTAATGATGTGTTAAATTACCGACCAATTTCAATTACATCATGCTTCAGTAAAATAATGGAAAATTTTTTTTTTTAAATATCTATACAACTTTTTGATTGAGAATGATATTATTACTAAGCATCAGTCTGGCTTTATACCTGGTGATTCTACTGTCAATCAGCTTTTGTTTATTTATAATGAAATTGCAAGCAATATGGATAAAGGAAAGGAGCTTCGATTTGTTTTTTGTGATATCAGTAAAGCCTTCGACAGAGTATAGCACAAAGGTCTTTTATTTAAATTGAAATTATATGGTATAAATGGAAATCTACTTTTGTGGTTTGAAAATTATCTGTCTAACAGAATGCAAAGAGTAAATACTGAAGGTTATTTTTCACAATTTAAGAATGTAAATGCAGGGGTACCTCAAGGATCTGTCCTCGGACCACTATTATTTCTTCTCTATATCAATGATATCACTACTAATGTTTCCACCAATATCAAACTTTTTGCTGATGACACTTCTCTGTATGTAATTATAGATAATAACCCAGCACAGGCCGCACAATCTCTCAACACTGATCTTACTAACATAGGTGAATGGGCAACAACTTGGGACATTAAATTCAATCCAAGTAAAACAAAATCACTCATATTTTCTAGAAAACAAGACACCCATCACATCCCACTATTTTTCCAAAATAGCCAAATCATAGACACATCATCACATCAACACTTAGGACTTACACTTCAAGATGATGCAACATGGAAACAGCACATACAGAATATATACAAAAAAGCTTACAATAGACTTAATATTCTTCGCCATGTCAAAACTAAAGTCAATAGAAAATCTTTAATTAAAATATATATGGGATTTATTAGGCCAATTTTGGAATATGCAGATATTATTTGGGATAATTGTACACAACAGGCAAAAGATATTCTTGAATCTGTACAATTAGAAGCAGCTAGGATAATAACAGGTCTTCGTTCTGGGGTATCACATGACAAACTATACAATGAACTAGGTTGGGAAACACTATCTGTAAGACGAAATAAACACAAACATGTAATGATGTACAAAATTATGCATTGGCAGACACCTCAATACTTACAAAATGTTTTAAATCCCTTTATTAATAATCAAAATGATAACCCCTACCCTCTCAGACAAACTAGGCTTTTCAACCCACCTTTATGTAGAACTAATAACTATTTTGACAGTTTTTTCCCTCAAATGTGCCGCACAATTAACATTGCAAATTCTGATCTTCTTAATTCTCCCTCTCCTGCAGCATTAAAAAAATATTTGAATAAAGATATTATTTCTGATAGTGAATCTGTTTCAATTTTCAAAACAGAAGGTAACCGAAGAGCAAGTATTATTCTATGTCGACTTCGAAACTCTTGCAGTAATTTAAATTATGATTTACACCATGACCATCTTACTAATAGTCCTGCTTGTACCTGCTCTGCTGAACATGAAACAGTATCTCATTACTTTTTGGAATGTCCTATTTTTAATAATCAAAGAACAACTTTGTTCACTTCTCTTAATAGTTATGGAAACCACAACCACATTGATAAAAACATTCTTCTCCAGGGCTGTCCTGATTGTGATGGGCTTACAAATAGAAGAATACTTGATGATGTGCATATTTTTATTGGAAAATCCCGTCGTTTTAATTTTTATATGACTTAAAGCCATGATGGTATACAAAAATATACTATATATTCTATATTTCATCCAGGAGATTCTAGTTGAGCATGACTACTGTCTATTGCGTGTACTTATCATGACATTGTAAATAATTACACTTTATATGTATTAAATGAATTTATTATTTTTAATTGTAACAGTTGTTGGTAGCAGTGACCTGTGCAATATATGCACATGGACTTTTGGTCTAAGCCTGCCAATATCTGTCTATGATAGTGTATATATATGCTGAAATAAATGTATTTGTACATGTACTTGTATGTGTGTGTAAGTGTGTGTGTGAGATGTTTCCTTCATGAGTTACTTCCCCTTAGCCTTGTGTTATTATGAATTATTTTGTGTTATTTTTTTCATTTGCAACATGTCTAAAATATTATGTCTCCTTGTTTATTCAACTTTGGCCATTTGACGGAGAGAATTTATATAGGCTTTGCCTGTTATTCAATCCAATTGATTATGACATCTTGTCAATAAAATTTATTGAAATGAATTGTGTTTACTCTAAGAAAAACAATATAGACAGATTTTCGGCTATGAAGTACAAGGCTCTGATTTTACATTGCGACAAAACATGTCGTGCATATATTACTCTAAGCGTCAAAACCAAAGACCAACAAGACAAGTGAGATCGTGGTAATGGTGAAGTGTCTGGTTAACACTATCTTTGTCGTGATGGGTGGCAACATTTTCCAGCCGACTGTAGGCCAATCAATAGAACCTCACACGAATAGGACTCCATTGAAGGACTGGTAACAGCAACTTTGCCAAGTGCTTCGATTTCATTATCAAATAAACCGACGTTGCATAATCTCTGAATAACAAGGAATGTATTGACCATGTCAATTGCATTAACCATTCTGAGATTGTAATCAAGGAAACTACTATGCTTATATTATATTTTTATATTTTTTCACGCACAAACTATGTTACAGAAAACAATATGCAGGAACTTGAATGCGCGTGATCATAATTTAGCGCTGTATCTAAAGCTTTAAAGTAAACATGATCATCAAGATAAACTATCCTTTTACCATTGTCACTATCGCGAATTATTTACCTCATTTTTACATATGTTCTATTTAAGTAGACTTACTAATTTTTTAAATAAATGCTTCTTTCTGCATATTTCTAGAAATTATTTTAAATATTGTGATATTGAGTTTTTCTGAACAAAAATATCCTGACAGGGATGGAACTCAGGATGTAATCAATGTACCTACGCATGATTTATAAAAACACATTATTAACATGAGAGACTATCCTGACAGGGATGGAACTCAGGATGTAATCAATGTACCTACGCAGGATTTATAAAAACACATCAATAACATGAGAGACTATCCTGACAGGGATGGAACTCAGGATGTAATCAATGTACCTACGCAGGATTTATAAAAACACATTATTAACATGAGAGACTATCCTGACAAGGGACCCTATTATAAGCAAACAAAACTGACATGCGTTGCTTCACCTACTATATGCAAGGGAGCATACTCCAAATCGATAAAAAAAAAAAAACATTTGAAATTCTTCTTTGCGATTTTTGTACCTGTAGTCGATAAAATTTAAGACTTAAAAACGATCTGTAATCAATGATGTAACCCTCTACAAGTACGTAAGATATTAAAGCAAATATTTGGCATATAAACACACTGTATATAATAATTTTCATCTGAATTGTAATTTATCAATAAAAGCATTCTAATTATATTTATCTCTATACACTCACCCGGTCCTTTTTTCCTTTAATTTTTTCAAAATTCTTAATAACGTATTGTTCATTTTGAGAATTTTAATTTAGATTGTTTGAAGCGCACTCAAGCAAATAAGGTAGTGTTCAGTATCAAAGTGTGATGTAGGTCATTTGAATCTTGTACAAATATCAATGGGTGCTAGGGACTGTATGCAGAATGTAAATTGAACCTGTCCTTACCATGTGCCTGTGAAGATGTTGGTCCCTGTGGTAATAGGTAAAACAAGACTTCCTCTATCTCCTTATTTATTCGTTATCAAAAATTTGCTAACTTTTAAATTCAAATTACTTTGATAAATGCACAGCAATATTGTAACTGTTTCAAAAAGGGTTTAAAGGCAATAATTTTGCATTCCAGTCTCTTTTCACTCTCATTCTCATCATTTTCCAACATTAAATATGTTGTTTTATTAGTCAAGTATACGCTTGAAAATACGTTTTAAATAGCACTACGACTAGGTTAAAATCGATTGCACAAATATTCAATTTATTTTCACCAAGTAAACACAAAAACACTTAACTTAACGGCATGTATGGATTGAACGGTGTCTTTTACTGTCATGAAGGATGTCAGTACTGACATACACATATAGACATGAGGCGCTGTATATATTAGCAGCAGGACATTTTGAATTATACCATTCAATCCAATAACAAATCAAAATGCATCTAATTCTTTTTTTTATATATATATTTTTTTTGCCAAAACATTCTTGAAAATACAATACAAAAATAGAAACGCATTGAGATGAAAAAACAGTTGAACACTTACCATGAACTTGACGACATTACATAAAATAACATCAAATAATGGCGTCAATGTAAAGCAGGATTCGTAAACACATATAGTACACTGTTTGTTCTATTAAAAAATAGATTTTTTCATTAATTAAATAAACACATTTATATATACAATGTATTGCCATTCAGAATCATTGATGAAACCCAAATGGACGAAATGCTGCAATTGTGTTGTAAATAATTAGTTCAGCCTTCTGCATCGACTTACACATTTTAAGGTGTATCCTAACTTCGAATTCCTGATGATAAATCTGTTAAGCTTTGGTATGATTGGGATAAAATACAGGTAAAACTAATAAAACGAGAAAATCAAACACAAATAGACGTTGTCGGTGACATAATATTTGTATATGATATATATATAAAAAAAAATAACTGAAATAATTATTACAGATTGCAGTCCAGAGAAAATTGTGATTAGGACTGCCTATACTAATCTATCTCGTTATTGTATGTAATAGGTACCATATTCCCTGGTTGTATTTCTTGAGCTATGTCTTCCTAAATCAACGAATACACAATCATCGTATTAGAAAAACTATATAAGAAAACACCTGTGTATCAGTTTAGTTTGTCAATGCAAAGAGACGAAATACAAAAAGAAAAAGACATCAATGAACCATAAGGCCACTACGTCCATTTAGGATATGTCAATGATACTTAACATAAACATAATGAAGATCCATGCCTTAATAATTCTCCAAGTTCCACTATGCAATATGTTTTCCATTTTCCAATTGTGTGTGGTCATCCTACACGGGAGACCTATTTATAGCAACTATTTAACAGTGAAGAAGCTTTTAACTTATTTCATGATTTCAATCAACAACAAAAACATGATTATGTAAAAGCAAATTATAGATGACTACTTCCAACTTATCTATCACAGGAACAGCGTTGTTACAGTAAGACACAAGGGAGGCTACTCGTTCCAGCCTTATATTAAATATCCAATAATGTTTAAAATATAGACACACGTATACGTATGTAGTGTTACATCAATGATCCACCATTGGAAGAAGGCACACACTTTATAAGTGGAACATGATTATATGTTTTTGTATACATATTTTGATCGATATTCAAATGAATAATTGGTGGGTTGTTTTTACAAAAATCATAAAGTTATTATTTCAATGAAATATAATGAATATTTTACTGCTGTTTTGATGCATTGTGATGACTTAATTAAAATATCAATATAAAGATAAAAAAGCTACCGGTCACAAATTTTTAAAAATAAAATATGCTTGTTTTCTTTATTTTTTACATGATGAAAATAATAAAATGAAAACGTGAAGTTGTCAACAAGCTAATCAGACCTTACTGTGTTTTCTGTACATTGTGCGACAACCGTTGTGATGTTTCTTTTTTGTCAAATCATGAAATGTGTGTCGGTCACTCAAGATCTAAGACAAAATGGACACGTGTTTTATTACTGAAATATATATTAGTCGAAAAAATATACTATCTAAACAAAAGTCAAGTTGAAAAGAAGCCTTGTTAAAACGATATCTAAGTTGAAAAGTTTCCCTCGTAGTAAAAATATGCTAGTTTAAAATACTCTGGTTTAAAAATGTTCCAGATGAAAATGAAAATCCTAGTTGAAAAAAAGATCCAATGAAGAATTTCCTATATGCAAAAATATCCAATTAAGAATTTCCTATATGCAAAAATATCCCAGATGAAAATAAAAAAAAATCGTTAAAAGATATCCCATTGTAAAAAGATCCTGCTTCAAAAACATTCCAGTTGAATATGAAAAACCTAGTTGAAAAGAGAACCCATTGAAAAAATATCCTATATGTAAAAATATCCCAGTTGTAATTGAAAAACCTAGTTGAAAAATGATCCCACTGAAAAAATATCTTATATGCAAAAAAATATCCCATCGAAATTGAAAAACTTGTTGAAAAATGATCCCATTAAAAAAAATATCCTACCTTGAACCAAAAAAGTATATAGTTGTAATTATCATCTTGATGAAACCTGTTAATATGCTTCGTGTATTTTTAAAACGAAGTATTTACTATACAACTACAGTTTTACATTCCGAAACATGCACAACATATGATATTTTGTTTTTGTATCATACTATTTCGGACATTTGAAATGTACACAAAAAAGGACTACTCAATACCATTTTTGAAAAAAGTCTAATTACAATTGTTATGCTGTCTAGTTGAAGCTGTCATTTAGCATAGTACTATACACATATTATACTCTTGACTATAACCAGGATATTGACATAAAACAATCAGCTGACATGCTTGAAAAGAAAGTCAAAAATGTAATGACAGCACTCGCTAAATTATTGCCCAGAAGCTTTTTAAAACTATCATTCATATTAATACTTCCTTGAGTTGATAACGTCAGAAGGAATAGCATTACGCTTCTCTAGTCTGGTTGCCTCTTAAAATCAATTAAGATAGAAACACTCAATCGATGTTTTTAAGGATAACACTAGAAAACCATTATAACTATTTCCTAATAGTATTTTAAAACTAAGTGCAATCGAGATAGTCTTGTGTCTATAAGTATTGAGTATAGTCTTCTCTGTTGATGCAGTAGCATCTATTTTTTTATTTTAAATTATTTGGACAATCAAACTATTTGTCCTAAGAAAAACATCCCATAATAGCATAACACAAGAAGCACAGGTCATAAGTTGTTGTTTCTATGTCATCTTAAAATGATTTAAAATTCCTTTGACTTGTAACATTTGTGACAGCACTGTAATTTGACTTGTAAATATTAGTTTTACCTCTATGTCAATATAACATAATGTATTTCATGAGTCACAGTAAAGTATTGCGGAATAAAGTCCTTATTGGTACCTAGTTACAATTATGTTAATAAGAACTGTAGAATAAACCGTCCATACTCTCTAAATCGCCCTTACTTTTTAAACCATTATACTCTCTAAACCGAATACACTCTTATAATAATACATTCTCTCTAAACCGCCTTTCTACACAAAATGCCGTAAAGCCCTAGAAATGACGCCATCATACGTATTCTCTTTTACAATTGTCTCCTGGCTCGCATCTCACCAACATTTATGTTACATTATGTCAGCAATATTATGCATTCTTCTTACACTTTCCAAACCACATTTTCTTCATCATATCAGGAGGAACCTGATGTGAAGTCATCATAGAATTTCCCTGGTAGATACATGGGTCAGCTGCAAATCTACCAGCATTAAAATTTGGGATACTCAGTAATTTGTATCCAAGTTTTTTAATGCAAATAGCAACATACACATCCTCAAGATGGAAAAATGGCACATGTTTGGACACTTCAAACACTTTTGTGGCCACGTTCATACTTGTAACGTACCCAGTTCCGGAACAAAATCCCGGATAATGAGACCCCGGAAAGCTTCTTTTAGATGCATACCATTTAGAACGATGATCGCGTATTGGTTGCGCCACCTGGTGACACGCGCCTCCCACGTGTGTCTGTAGCTTGTCTTTGTTAGTGTTTAATGTTTTTAGAATATTTGGAATGTTGACGTACATATCATCATCAGTTTTCATCACAAATTTCGCGTCCTTACATTTGGTGCTGGCCCATTTGTATGCCATCATTGTTTTGTATGTCAGATTGCTGTAAGCATCCTTGAAGTCTTCCTTGAGAATGTCCTTAAATACATCAAATTCCTCTTTTACTTTTTTATTCATGTTTGAATCAGAAGTAGCTCCAAGTAAAAAGGCGTACCGGATATTAGAATCTAGTGAGTTATTTTTAGCATACGTTAGCCATGTGTTACGTATGGTGTCCCTCTGTAGTCTGTTCTGGTGAACTGTAAATATCAGAATGACGACATCTATTTCGGGGGATTTGTCGTTACGGGCACATATTTGGTCGTTGTCTAACACGTAATTGAAGTCGTGTTTGAAACATACTTCACAGTTGTCCGGACGATCTGTCGGAGGCCTAGGTGGCGCTTCAGTTCGTTTCTTAGTTGTAGGCACTTTGCCCAAGGTAGTTACATTACCAGATCCAGGACGCCTGGTTGTCGGCCCATGATTGCTTTCGGTTTTATTCAATCTCAGTGTGTCCAACAAAAGACTAGTTCCATCCGTGTAGATGTTTTTCACAGTATCTGCAAGTACTACAGTCAGACTGAGGACTTCGTTAACGTAGTGCCAATACAGGAATGCACTACATAACATAGCAATGCACAGTCCAATAAATAGGTAGAGCAGGGTTTTGTTGGTACATGTCCGACCGCTTGCCCTTTCCGGCCTCTTCATGTCAGCAATTAGGTTAACTGAAACATAAGAATTTGATAATTTTCAGGTCGATTTGATAGCAAAAAATATTGTATAAGAATAAACACATGAATTGATCGCAAGACTGTTTCTATATATTCTTAGACCGATTGTTTCCAGCTGCGCTCAGACATATTATGAACATATATGGCGAGATGTCAACAAACAGAACGGGTTGAAGTTTATACACCTGTGACCATATTAACATACTCAAACATCCTTATAGCTTGTAGTGTACACCTGTGACCAAATTACCATACTCAAACATCCTGTCAATGACATTACATCAGCTTACAGACCTGGTCAGACAATCCAACGGTAATCTAGTATAAATCCATACAACACACAGGCGTGTACAGTAATCACGCTAATATTCAGGACGTCCTTGATGTTCTCTAGTTCAGGTACCCGCTCAGGGTTCTACTGCTAACAGCAGTAACAACAATACCCTGTGTAAATGAATGCTTGCCGTTTATGTTAATACGAGACAGGAATAAAGCAATCACATTTACCCTACCCTCCAACGTACCACGCTAACAGGTTAAAATCAATAAGGAAAACCTTCCCGGTACGACCGCGGGCAGTGTTGCGTGATGATAGTCTGCAGGATCAAGTGCCCTTTTGCTATGTCAGCTTAATCGACCAAGACACACGTTAATCTCTGATATTTTCATTATGATTCTTTTTTTAAATCAAAACTAATTCATTTCGAGTGACATAATCACCACTAATAGGAAATAGTATCACAAACCTAAATATTTTGCGATTGGTTTTTTAAATCTATTGTGACTCGAGTTGCCCGGTTAATGGCAAATAAAGCTGGACACGCTTGTGTCGTGGTGTCTAATATATATCATGTTATCACGATAAGCATGTTTGTAAAATGTCTAAAACATTACGGGTGGTCGGGTTACACGTCACTCTTACACAAAACAAGAAAGCAGTTGACTTGATCTTCCCTCGTTCATTTAAAGATTATTTGAAGATGAATAAATTTATGTTTTCTTTAATATTCCTTTCATAAAATACTCGTTTAGAAATGGGTAATTGACACTTAACATAAAAAATGCATTGTACGGCAAATTGAATAGACAATTTCTGTACTTGCTGTTTCTGTAACGATAAAACAAAGATTTCTTTGCATAGAAAATCAAACCGTACTTACAACGGGGGGCCATAATAACCGTAGGCCTTTTTATATAATTTCTAGTCAGGTGAAGAAAATATTTTAAATAACCTCTGTAAACCTACATTAATGATTGAACTATTAATGAATATTATTACAATGAAGTAAACAACGAAGGACTGATAGAACATGGAATTCCATTTGGGAAATGTCATATCAATAACAGGTTCTTTTGTAGCCATTTATACGTAAGGTAAAAGGGAAGAATCCGAACAAGACCCCAAGATCATGAAACGAACTTAAGTCTTAAACTGTCTTAAGTTTTGACTTAACCAATCACAAATGACGTGATCAACGATGACGTCTAACGTGATCAGTTAAGCGAAAACTTAAGTCTAAGATTGTTTCACGATCCCTGGGCCTTGACACACAAGGGCTCAGAAAATCCTTCAAAATTATAACGTGAAAATTTTCGTTAACGTCTCGTTAACTCATTCACCCCTACATATTTAAACTGGACTAGCCCGGTCTTTGATTCCGTAATGTTCTAAAGGGACTTAAGGGGTGAATGAGTAAAAATGAACAGACTACTTGTATGTACGACTGTGCCCTGTACACTTAAAACATAGTTTATCATAGAATAAAGAAAGCGTTGTGTCTACTGTAAGTGGGATGTTGTGTTTTGTGAAAGCACGTGTTGTAAGCCATACAATCTAAATAGAACCTCTGCTTCTCCCATAACCTCAATATCTTGTGAACACACAACATCCTACAACCCTGTGAACTGGTAGGTTTGTGATTCTATATAAGGTTTCCCCGACACAACGAGACTGTATCTATAGGTGTTCGCAAAAGTATGCCGTTTACCTCAACTATTGGGAAAAGTGGCTCTATGGCTTCGAAAAACTCCCAAAGAATAAAATGGCGTGTGATTTGGGAGGGAATGAAAATCAAGTCCACGAAAATATAATAAATTTTGTGTGCATATAGGAGGTTTCAGAAAGAAAAATTACCCATAGTTCCAACGGAACCAAGTTAGATTGGGTCGATTTTCCAACAACGAGAGCTTCATCCAATTTCGTATATTTCATCATTAGGGTTGGCAATTTTATCGAAAGTTGTTTTAATCCCCTAAAACGTGTAAATTCACTCCGAACACCTCAACTAAGGTCCAAATATAGCTGTAACAAAATTCGCAGGTCTCAGTATTGTGTATACAGTAATACGACACTACTCCTGGCCTCCTGTTACCATCCTCCTACATACCAAATATAGGGTTAATTCGACACTCCTTTAGAGTAAAACGTCACGGTAAACAAATGCATTGTGGTCCTATGCATGAACCTCTCCAACGACTATTTATTTTACAAGCTCAAATATGAATTTGACGTGGGCAGAATTTACCAGGTGTTACCACAGTAAGAACGATACATTCTCAATCATTTCATTATTATTGTAAAACACAGTTCAGAGATTTGACATAAGCCACTCCCCGCCATATGTCGACACCTACCTAGCTGCATACAAGTATTCAAACGTTCAATCCATAGACAGTACATCCTGTTATACATAGTTTGCAGGTCACAGGTAAATCGTTTATGCTCAGTACAACATAAACAATAAGCCTTAAGTTTCAATGCACTTTTGGCCTGGATATAGATGTCAGCATGTCAGCAATGATAATAAACGAACAAAGATTATTTACAAAGCGAAAAAAACCCTGCTAACTCAAATGCTAGTTTCTGAATTGGTCGCAAGTGAACCATGACGTTTGTGCCTGCCCAGATGACACACAATGAAAAGGAATTGTACACGTACATGTGCTTGTATTTCACGGCTGTCTGGGTCACAGTTGACTGATGATGGGATTATTTCGTCCTTTTGTGTTGCTAAAGTTGTAGTATTTACTTACCCACAGTGTAGGACTGACACCGGATATAGCTAGTACCGAAGCGGGCATGGAAGCTGGGCGTAGTCGAATCACGTTAATTTTCGATATTTCTTGCATTTTCTGGTAGTGTAGAGACAAATAAAGAAGCACGACAATCAAGCATAGACGTAATTCATATCTGAAACAGGAGGCATTTTAATTGTTTTGGTGTAGTTGCAAATTATTTACAAAAACAGTCTGCCTAGTACCGCTAAATTCATAACAGCAAATATTGTCTTGACTTGACACTTGCCAGTGGATTATATACATTTATATGCTTAGATGATTTCTGATAGTGATATAGTCATGATAATACATGGAGTCACTCTATATTATGCTTCTTTCTTTAGATATTGGTATAACTAATTTTGGTGAAGTGTACGGCGAATAGCAATACATTGTACGGCGAATAGGAATGTTTAAAATAACTGGTGTACGGCGAATAGTTCGTATGGTATACAGTAGTCAAGTGAGCACTTCGCCTAAATGTGATATATTTTGTTAAAGCTAAACTTAAACTAACGTTCCCCGATTACCGTAAATATCATACAGTGTAAAAATGCATGCACCTTATCGTACGTAAGTTGCATAACACCAAAGATTACAAGAAACAACAATGCACTCAATACAGTTGTACAGGTAGGTCAGATATTAAAAGGACAGGTCAAAATGATAGTTCTGTGTCTGTTTGCAGCCCTCAAAATATTAGGGTTGCAAAATATTTTTTTAAAGTACCAATTACAACACAAAGTTTCAGACCATAATTTAAAAGTGCCTATTAAAAGTTGATGAAAATAAAGTAAGAATAGACTTTGAAATCTTGAGTAGGAATGAAACAGACTTTTCCCATTGCCTGTTAAAAGTTATACATATTTAACACTTTCAGACGTCTGTATTGCCTTTACCACTTGCTGTTTACAGATAACTGTGAATAAATTGAGGATGTATCAACTATCGTGTATTTCTTTGCAAATCTAGGTATTAGAGCAGATTTTCTCTACATCACCCTTAAATTTTCTTGTGTAACCCCTCACCCTTGTATATTAACGTTGTGACAGGGAAAGAGTATGTCACCTTCTGCCTAAGTTCCAACTCTCCACGGCTATTGTCAAGGTCATAGCTAAAGTTCCAACACTCAATTGCTATTGCCAAGGTCACAGCTAAAGTTCAAACTCTCTACCGCTATTGTCAAGGTCACAGCTTAAGTTGTGTTATACATGTGAAAAATGGGTACTCTTTATCATTATTTAACTCGACATTCATTAGACTTTCGACATTCTTAACCCCTTCCCTTACGATATCATTCGAAAGTGTTACAAACCAACACCATTGGTATGTTACTCCAATGGTATAATAACATAAAAGCATAGCTAGTACAAATGCTCGTTTTAAACGTGGTTCTGTTAGTATAGCTATTCGCCGTAGTATTTAACATGCTAGTTGCCGTACACTTGAAAATGTCTCATCTACATATGCCAGTAACGTCCGTTTCATCATCGTATATATCATACTTTAATAGTTATCTCGTCTTCTTTCTTTGTAAATGATTTCGTACCGGTACTTTGTAGTCATTTTTTACCAATATCTTCAGATCGCATGAAATAGTTTACAAATCATCTGCATCACATACACCATTGTTCATTGTTTAACTGTTGTGCTCCTTTATTTGTCTCTACGCTACCAGAAAATACCAGAAATATCGGAAAAAAAGCCAGTGGCTTGTTTGATCTGCGCCTAGCGTCCATGCCCGTTTCGGTGCTAGCTATATCCGGTGTCAGTCATACACAGTGTTACTGCGGTTTCAAAAGACAAGGTGGTAGGCTCTGCTGGTAGATTTGTTAACACCCGTCGCATGGTTCATAATATACACACGTAACAAATTACCTAATTTGAACTATATCCTCTAAAATTTTGAGTTGATTAAATAAGTTTCCGCTGCTGTTTCAATAGTATTTAGAGCAATTTGTATGTGCAACTTCTTGGCCCCTGGCATCCCCGATCAGTCCTAGAAGAACGAACCAGCTGTGGGATGCAGTGTAATTCATTTTGACAAACCGTATATTATCAAAACCTAAGGTGCAATCACTTAGTTGTAGGTGGTTGTGTGGGTGTGTGGATTTGTGGGTGTGTGTGGGTGGGTAGATTTGTGGGTGTGTGTGGGTAGGTAGATTTGTGGGTGTGTGTTGGTAGGTAGATTTGTGGGTGTGTGCGGGTAGGTAGATTTGTGGGTGTGTGTGGGTAGGTAGATTTGTGGATGTGGGTGGGTAGGTAGATTTGTGGGTGTGTGTGGGTGGGTAGATTTGTGGATGTGTGTGGGTAGGTAGATTTGTGGGTGTGGGTGGGTGGGTAGATTTGTGGGTGTGTGTGGGTAGGTAGATTCGTGGGTGTGTGTGGGTAGGTAGATTTGTGGATGTGTGTGGGGAGGTAGATTTGTGGGTGTGGGTGGGGAGGTAGATTTGTGGGTGTGGGTGGGTAGGTAGATTTGTGGGTGTGGGTGGGTGGGTAGATTTGTGGGTGTGTGTGGGTATGTAGATTTGTGGGTGTGTGTGGGTAGGTAGATTTGTGGGTGTGGGTGGGTAGGTAGATTTGTGGGTGTGGGTGGATGGGTGTGGGTGGGTGTGTGGGTGTGGTGTATGTGTGTAGTTCAATGCCTATTTCGAAATTGAGTTCGACGAAGCAGAAAACCAAACACAGTCAACACTGTATAGCACAATATGGCTATTTCGTCCATATAAAATTCACCAATGGTACTCGAGGTCAAAAGAATATATTTTGTTTTAATTGTTCTAACACATATGAAGAATGCATCAAAAAGGGAAACACGTATATAAAGTTATAACGTGTAACGCCTGTATATCGAGGGTGGGGTACAGTAACACTTAATGTTAACGTGTTACCCCTGTATACCGAGTGTGGGGTAGAGTAACACTCAATGATAACGTGTAACCCCTGTATAACGAGGGTGGGGTACAGTAACACTTAAAGATAACGTGTAACCCCTGTATACCGAGAGTGAGGTACAGTAACATTTAATGATAACGTGTAACCCCTGTATGCCGAGAGTGAGGTACAGTAACATTTAATGATAACGTGTAACCCCTGTATAACGAGGGTGGGGTACAGTAACACTTAAAGATAACGTGTAACCCCTGTATACCGAGGTTGGGGTACAGTAACACTTAATGATAACGTGTTACCCCTGTATACCGAGGGTGGGGTACAGTAACACTTAATGATAACGTGTTACCCCTGTATACCGAGGGTGGGGTAGAGTAACACTCAATGATAACGTGTAACGCCTGTATACCGAGGGTGGGGTACAGTAACACTTAATGATACCGTGTTACCCCTGTATACCGAGGGTGGGGTAGAGTAACACTCAATGGTAACGTGTAACCCCTGTATACCGAGGGTGGGGCACAGTAACACTTAATGATAACATGTTACGCCTGTATACCGAGGGTGGGGTACAGTAACACTTAATGATAACGCGTAACGCCTGTATACCGAGGGGGGGGTACAGTAACACTTAATGATACCGTGTTACCCCTGTATACCTAGGGTGGGGTAGAGTAACACTCAATCGAGGGTGGGGTACAGTAACCCTTAATGATAACGTGTAACCCATGTATACCGAGGGTGGGGGTCAGTAACACTTCATGATAACGTGTAAATCCTGGATACCGAGGATGGGGTACAGTAACGCTTAATGATAACGTGTAACCCCTGCATACCAAGGGTGGGGAACAGTAACACTTCATGATAACGTGTAACCCATGTATACCGAGGGTGGGGTACAGTAACACTTCATGATAACGTGTAAATCCTGGATACCGAGGATGGGGTACAGTAACACTTAATGATAACGTGTAACGCCTGTATACCGAGGGTGGGGTACAGTAACACTTAATGATAACGTGTAACGCCTGTATACCGAGGGTGGGGTACAGTAACACTTCATGATAACGTGTAACGCCTGTATACCGAGGGTGGGGTACAGTAACACTTCATGATAACGTGTAACCCCTGTATACCGAGGGTGGGGTACAGTAACACTTCATGATAACGTGTAAATCCTGGATACCGAGGATGGGGTACAGTAACACTTAATGATAACGTGTAACGCCTGTATACCGAGGGTGGGGTACAGTAACACTTAATGATCCAACGATCGTTAAAAGTCATTAACGATTTCAACCTTCATTATATAGAAAGTCGTCACTAGCAAAATCATGACGTTGTAAGGCGGGTAATATCGTTTATCAAACCGCAAATAATAACCGATTGTTGACGGGCATCATTAAAACCATAACTATAGTATACATAAATGAAAATGGTGATGAATATCATGTTTGCCGTACTGGAAAGACAACACACTAAGCGACTTCACTGGTATTTGAACATTTCATTGGTTTGTCAACACGCCATTGAAGCATGGTAGAACAGCGTTCGGAAGATAGCGTTAATAGTGTGTATAATACCCACGTGTCACTAGCATCACTTCAATAACGATATTGTTATCGAGTCAATCTCAATATCATTTCACTGTGACAGAAGAAACACTAGAGAGAGAATAGTAAACTACATGTACGTGTAGCTAGGTGTTGGCAGCAGGATGGCTAACAAACTGTTCAGCTCTACATGAGAATGCGTACATTGTAGTATACAGTTTCTCATAAAGACTATTACCGTGCATTTTTTCAAACTCCCAGACAAAGGATATTTCTCCTACTTCCTTTTTTTATTCACTAAGCACACATTTCATCAATGTTATATCACCGTACAGACATCGTCAGGACTTTCTCCCATTGAGATGGATATTCGTACATCCTAATATTGACCACATCAAACGATTCACCGCTTGTATCGAACACTTTGAACCAAACACTAGAACGCGCATCAGCGCGCCATTTAAGGTAATCATCTTTACCTGTCAGTGTCTTTTCCATAATATGTATGAATATGAAATAGGCACTGCCTATAAGCGAGCGCACATAGTTCAGTAACATTTGTGATGATAGTGTAAATCTCTGGCGCCTGCGGCGCAC